GTCTCACTGTGTAGTTGAAACTGACCTGGCTCACTGTGTAGCCCAGGCTGGCCTTGAACTCACAGTGATCCTCCTGCCTCAGCCTCCTCAGTGCTAGGATTATAGGTGTGCGCCACCACACCCGGCTCGCTCAGTATTTTAATAAATATAATTACTTGTAGTATTTCTCATGTAGTTCCTTCCCAAATTTTGATTAAAAAAGAATAATCTAGAAAGAATGCTTTATTGGCAGGACTAGGGAGATCTCAATTAGCAAATACATGGAGGTAATGAACTCAGGGGTCCAAAAATGCTGAAATGACATGGAAAGTTTTTCTTGGGAGAGGGTTCATGACCCCTAAAAGTTTGAGAATCAGTTGCTGCAGAGGAAATAATAAAACTGCTGAAATTACTATCAGCTGGAAGGCTAGCTGATTATGCAGCCTACATTAAAAAAAATTATTTATATTTATTTACCCATTACTTCCAAGCTAAATTTTTTAAAGTTTTATTTACTAAATTGCATAGTTACTTTCTGAGCTTACTGCCTCTAAAAACATGCAGAGTATGTCGAAGGTAATGAAATCATTCACCTGGCAGCTGTAACTGATTTCAGCGAGTCAGGTGAACCCACGGAACTGCAATTCATTTGGATGACCTCTGTGAGTTTACACATTTCAAAGGCGCTTTAAGCGCAGAGCTGCTGCAGCAAAAATGCATTACTCATACAATTGCCATCATTACTGCAAGGATGCCCTCCAAACACTGAGAACGGTAACCAGAACACTTAAGAAGCCAGAGACCTGCATAATGCAAAGGACAGGAGACAGGCTTTAAGGAAAAATGGGCCAGAGACTGACCCTTATGGTAGGTATGAAATTTACAGACCTCCCAAGCCAAATACAAGAGATGGGAGTTAAATTCTCTCTAGCCAATGACAAATAGTACCATTTCTAAAAAAGAAATAAAAATAAGCAATAAGAATGTATGATCTGGACAAAAAAGATACAACTCGAAGTCCTCTCTCGATGGGATCTGTTAAGAGGAGGCCTTGGGGAGCATATATCTTCTCATTCTGTTCTTGAATATATTTGGAGACTTTCTTCAGAACCTGACAGAAAGAAACACCACAGCTTTTTTAATGTTTCATTAGATTTTCCTTGAAGTGTCAACCAGATCTCATAATATTCAGGGAGTGGAACTGGCTTTTAAAGCAAGTCATATGGATATCTACAAGGCAGACTAGAGCTCTGAATGTCTAGCTCACACAGGACAGTATGATGGGCTCTTCAAGGCGAAGTGCTTTCAATGCAGTGTAAACGCACATGTGTACAAGGACAGGAGTAGAGCCTACCCTCTCCTTCTTCCCAGCCTCCTCAGTCCTGGATACAGAGATAGAGGATTAGGTACACAGTAGATAGTAACACTTCTCTTTCACTAAAAAAAATATTAGTGTGGCTTTTCTAACAGCAAGGATACTTCTTGGCCTTCTCTTGCAACATTTAAGAGCTACTATTTTTCTCCTTTGTACATTTTCATTCATTCATTCTAAGTAATGATACAAAGCTGGCCTGTAACAAAAGGGCGCCCAGTCATTTTAAAAGCAGAAATGTATTTCTTTGTAAAGCCTTGGACAAATTATCTGCCTGTGAGTTTCTGATCATCACAAGCGGTCTTCACTGTTTCCATGTTTGTGTGTAGTGCTATTCTGTAGTTGGCTTGTTTTCTAGACAGGAACTTCAATTTATAAGTTTAGTGTTAAACTTGTAAAAGTCAAAGCAAATGCAGAGAAAAACCAGAGTGGATACAAAGGAACTTCTGGAAATAGCCAAATCTCCAGCTTTCATAAGGGCACTTCTGAGACAGATAAGCTAGAAGAAAATAAATCTTAATAGCTTTATCCAAAACCAAAGAGTCACAAGTTTTATTTCAGGCTCAAAGTAACTATAACCCTTTTTTTTGGCTCTAATGTTCAAAGAGGCTTTGATCCAGTTCTTTAAATTACTATGTAATTCTTTAAACTCACACTACCAACAAATGATAAAGTCACAAATGTGATGGCAACATAATGGGAAAAGAGAGCTATAGAAATAAAGCTGGAAGTTAAGCAATGATTTAAGTATGAATGCATAACAGGCCAAACTAACAAATTAGGATGTTACAATTTAGAAACATTAGTTTAAGTTGACTTAGAATTTAAAACTACATGGTTTGTATAAAAAACATTTTTTTCAGAAGAAAAACAGTTTATTCAGGTTACAAATTTAGGGATAATACAAGTCATGTTTTATTCTTTTAAAAAAGGATGATATTTTTGATTGTATATTTTAATAATATACAATCTGTATATTATTACATTATTTTCCCTGCCTAATTACCTGAAGCAATGCATATATCATGCTCCTATTTTCAGTTCTCAAAAGAATTTGAACTGTGGGGTTAGGGATTTAGCTCAGTGGTTCCGCCGCCTGCTTTGCAAGTAGCAAGATCCTGAGTTTGATCTCTCCCAAAAAAAGAATTTGTACTGTGCTTGGTCATTATGAGGAAAAAGGAAAAGAAAAAATAACCCAGGGGCACTATCTTTTTATCAGAGCTTGTCAATCGTCCTACAATAATGAAAAGGGAGCAGTCCATGAAGGAGTCCCGTCCAGGACTCTCAATCTTCTCTCCAATTTCCTTCTTAGCTCACCTGTCAGAATCAGAAACTGGAGACCCACTCTCCCTTCACCCCAGCCCGCTAGTACTGGAGGGGACTCAGGAACATGCTTGCTTGGCTGGTTTTGAAGAAAAGATCCCTTCAGAACAGCTTTCCTCCTCTCCTTGGATACAGATTACTAGCAAGGAAATAGCATTTCTCTCTGATTCAACTTTAACTCTGTTGGACAAGGTTTTCATTAAACTGTAGCAATATTCATGAGCACTTGGGTATCAGTTCAGAAAGAAAAACTATTGGTTTTCTTTTTGTATAAGCTCAAAATCCTCTTTACTACTTTGGTGAAGGCAGCACTGTCCCAAACAAGATACATTTAACTCTTAATCTCTTTAGCAACTGAAAACCATGAGTGTGAGTGAACTGCTCCGATTCCATACAGCACACAGCACCCTTCCTCCCCGTGAGACCTCAGTGACCTTCTACCCACACTTTATTAGGACTGGTAAATCCACGTAAGAAAATTTCATTATATTAACACAATTATCTGTTTTTCTCCAACCCCCAATAAAACTTCAATTTGTGTATGTACAAGATGAAACACAACTGAACCTCTGAAAAGATCACTACTTTCCTTGGGAATACTCTGCCAGAGACAGCCTAACAGCCTGAGTGAGGTTCAGCGAGAACATCAGAACACCGGTATTTACAGAAAATACTCAAATGTTTGCCTTGCACATTACAGCACAGAGGCAGAAGGAACGCTTTCTAGTTGATGAAGAAGGAAGACAATGAGGAGAATCTTCCAGAGCTCATTTGTTCCCTAACAGAAGTAACACTGAGGTCATTCTTTTCATTTTAAATCAATAAATAGAATATTGTAAGAATAAAATACACGATTGTTCTAGCAAGTTTTAAAAGGCCTATTTATAATTTCCAAAATTTAACATACATGACAAACTCTAAGCATTATATTTGGCTTACCGTTTGTAGCCTAGGAGTTTTAATTTAAAACAATATAGACTAAATGACTCAACCCTGTCCTTTCATTAATAAATCATAGCACAGAAATTCTGAGGGTACAAACTAAAGAGAGAGATAACTGTTTTTTATGTTTTATTGTTTATAAAAACACAAACATTTTAAAAGTTTTCTTTTAAAAGCATAGGTAGGTTATATCTTAATTATTCCACTTATTAACTTTGCATGATCTAGTTATTCATGTGCGATTTCTTAAAAAAATCATCTATTCAAAAAATGTGGCTACACCTTAAGTCTTGATTAATTTTATTTGGTCTTTACTTGCTTTATGATACTTGTTCTATAAACACAGAGACCTTGATAAGACCTATAAAGTTATACCTTATATGTTATCCTTACCTCTAATTAAAACACATACTAGGATGAATCAATTTTCACATTATTTGATACCAAGGATCATCTTCTAAGATATATAATCAAAAGAATCTTAACTGAGAGCTGTTAAGTGCTTTGTTGTTTGTTTCTGAGTCAGTGTCTTACTATGTATTCCTTGCTGGCTTTTTGGTTTAGCTGCCCAAATGCTAGGATTATAGGCATGACCCACCCCACCAAGCAGAGCTGTTCAGTATTTTAGGACCCAAATAAACCAGCATGTGGCTAAAAGATTATTTATACTGCAAATAAAAATATGTGAGCTCAAACATGTCTGATTAAAATTTACAAAGACACTAACTCCATTTCCAACACCATCAAAAAATATTTACTAGTATATACCATTTGCTAGGCAATGCGTTAACGCTAAGATCTACTCTACAGCTGAGATAACTCAGAGATGAATGTGCCTAAGTAATCCCGTAACTAGTATGAATTGGCTGGCACCCAATCACTCTTTTTTTTTTCCACAAACTTACGCGAGTAGGACATCTCTCTATCATTGTCAGCAAATATACGTAGATAAAATGGTAAATGGCAGTGTCACATACTTCTTTAAATGACCACCCTGTATGATCATGTTTTAAGTAGACGAACTGGGTCTCTTCTGCTCTCCTACCTTCAGCTCCTCAGGTCAGTGTAGCCTTTACTTCCACCTACAATGCTCTGCCCCTAGTCCAGGCTATCATCATCTTTTTCCTGGACTTCTGAGGAGTTTCCTAACTTGTTTCCCTACTTCCACTCTTTGCTTCTCTCCACAGTGCAGAAAGATCTCTTGAGAATGAAAATGTGGCATATCATTCTCCTGCTTTAAATGTTAGAGTAAGGCTCTTGCTGCACCAGAAGTAAAAGACACATTTCTTCCCCACGTCTATGCGTTCTTGTGTGCTGCAGCCTCTGCTAACCTCTCCACAGCATCTCCGGCATCTTCTCCTATCCTCTCACCACACTCTCTCCCGGTTCCTGGACTGCTAAGCTCCCCAGACCTCTGCATAATTCATCTCTCTGCCGAACAGGACAAGGCTTTTCATCCTTCACACAGCAGCTTAAATGCCATCACCTCAGAGGCCTCTTCTGACCGTACAATCTAAATTAGGTCCTTTCTACTATTTCCATCACAGGCCACTGCCTCCTACAAGGCATTTATCCTAATTTTGCTGGTTTTCCTTTTTTGTTAGAATCAGTTTGTTACCAGGAGATTATAAACTGCACAGGTCAGCAACCATGACTGCTCTATTCAATTATGTTCCTGGCAATTTCAATAAATATTTATCGAATGGATGAATCCTCTGGCTCTTCACTCACCAAATACACTGTTGAAGAGATAGTAAGACTAAACATAAATTGAAAGCGGACACCAATCCTTGATAAGTTCTGATTTTGATGTTAAACTGGAATTAGCAGTGTATATGATACAAAGCATATAAACTACTACTTAGTTATTTAAATACATTTTTTTAACATACGATAGAATTAGAGTTAAGACTAGAGAGTTCATGTTAGGATGCTAGCAAATACTGTAACAAATCACAAAGAGCTTTACTATTGGAGAAAAGAAGAAAAAAGCAACACTGCAGCCAGAGGCTCAAAATATTTTAGCTGTCATTATCTGCTCTCCACTATAATGAGTGCAAAACAAACACAGGTACTTCTATCAGGTGGGCTGTAACAGACAGACTCTTACAGGGTTTCATTTTCTAAACACTGTCAGAACTTAGATATATTTTGGGTTTACTGAGACGATTAACTTAGTCATTTATGTAACACGCATTTCAATGAGCACCTAATGTATTAAAAGCAGGGTCTAAGCCAATAAAGAGGATACAAAAATGGCTATGGCACTGTCCTTGACCCAGGAACAATGCACAGATGTAGGTCAAATAAGAACAAAAAATGCTATATTTCAAAGTGCCAGAATACAGATATATAACATGTTGTGAGACACAGAGGAAAGGCAAGAATCCCGAGCAAAAGCATTAAGAAGGTAAATGGACACGGGAAATGTGGGACTAGTGGCATTCGAACATGGGAGGAGTGTCATTTTAGGTGGAGGCACACCATGGAGGGCCGCTCCGGTGACTCATGAAGAAAGCGAAGGAAGAGCAGGCGACATGAGCTGAAAAGGTGAGCTGAACCTGACCATGGAACAGAACGGGAGACAGGAAGCTCGGACTCGGTGGGAGTGGTAGGTGAAGGAAGTTTATGCTTTATGAAGACCAACACGCAGGATGGAAATGCAAAAGGGGAGAGATGAAAGGAGCCAGGAAACAATTCCGACAGTCTAGGAGAGAGATACTAAGGGCACAGATAAGGACAGTGGCAAAGAAAATCAGGAAAGTTAATGCACGGGAAAATGGGAGGTACTTCAGTGTTTGATGTCTGAGTACATCTGTCTTCTCCACCCCTCACCCTAAAAGCAGCACTGACAAGACGGGCTCCAGGGGACAAAACAGGGAGGTGGGGGTTTGAATTAAGGGAATCTTTAGAAGCCAGCCACTACGGGTTTAACAGGCAGTTTGAAAGAGTAGACAACAACTGAGGTGTGAGGATAGGACCGAAGATAGAAATTTGGGAAAATGACATAAAAGAATTCTCAAAAGAGCTGGAAAGAATGCAAATATGGAGATTTTCCATGTTCAGCTGAAGTGTAGGCTGATCTTTAACAGACATGTTAATTCCAAGTGGACATACCAACTCTGACCTGTTTCTGAAACACTCAGGAATCATTCCCAAGTGCTCTGGCCAGAGGAGCAGTGACAACATGGGAATTATTATAAATGCCCCCTATAGATTATGGCAGTTTTTACCATGTAAACATACATGCGGAACAGTCATTTTCTTTATAAGAAATTTTGTGACAACAGACATGGCCTTCTTTACCTTCTCATAGTGGGTTTCCATGCACAAGAAGATGGTGTACGCTGTTAAACAAGCCAAACAGCCTTCAAGATAGGATTGGCCCCCGAGCTTCTCTGCTTCTGCATAAAGGTTATTTAGGGTTCTCACAGTTTCTTCAAACTGCTGTCTATCAATCTGTAGGAAAGAAAAGAGTTTTAAAGTACCTTTTGGGAAACACTTCGACAATTCATTAATGTTTGATATCATTTACCTTTAATCTAAAAGTTGGCATAAAAACAAAACAATATTTTAGGTGATTAAATCTGGATTGAAGTTACTGAGACTGACTGGGGATTTTTTTTTTTTTTTTTTGAGACAGGGTCTTGCTACGTAATCTAGACTGGTCTTTAATTTATTATGTAGCCCAGGGTGGCCATGAATCTGCAATGATACTTTTGCCTCAGCCTCCCAAGTGTTGGGACTACGGGCATGTGCCCAGCCTGCTTTGGACTTTTAAAATTTTATTTCTGTTTTATTCCTCTTATTCTAGAAATCGTCAAAGTTCAATATGACACTTTTTAATTTCTTACACAGATTTTCAAGTAAATTCTATAATTGATTCCTGTTTTCCTGAACATAAATTGGCATTTAAGAACTACTTTTTTGTGCCTTCTCCGTATAACTAAACTCTGGAGCTTTGAGGCAGGGTAACCAAAAGATGAATAATAATACCCTGCTTCATAGCTCAAGAGTTGTTATGTAAGCAGACAAGTGAACAGACAAACCCAATAAACAGGGCACTATCATAAAAGCGTATATAAGTATAGAGGGGTACAAAGGAGCTCTCTTTATCTGGAGTCAGTAGGTAATCTTAAACGCAGTACCTAGGCAAAAAGGAAAGGAAGGGTATTTCCAGCAGAGTAACGAAAAAGTTGCAAGTTCTCTATTCGGTAGGCCTTGTCTCCCATCTTTTTTCTCTTTTGGTGGTATTAGGGCTTAAACCCAGAACCACTACACTGAATTATAATGCCAGCCCTTTTCATTTTTAAGTTTTGAGACAGTGTTACTAAATTCCCAAGCTAGGATTCAGAGCTTTCTATCTTCCAACCTCAGCCTCCAAGAGAGTTGGGATTATAGGCATTTATCACTATGCCTGGGGCCGGGGATTTAGCTCAGTGGCACTGTGCCTGCCTTGCAGGTGCAAGGTCCTGAGTTCAATCCCCGGTACCAAAAACAAAAAACAAAAAACCCTTTCTATCACTACGCCTGGACTCCCATTCTCTTTTATAGTAACCATTTTGTGGTTATTGTAACAGCTCATGCTGTTGAAGAGCATAAAATCTCCATTTAACTGGAAACACTTTACACCAATCATTGCTCTCTCACTCAGCGACACTTATCTGATGTTGCACTAATACGGTTCATACCACAGTGATGTTTTAGTAAATGACGGATACACTTATGTGGGTGGTCCATATTACACTGCGAGTGCTGTGGAAGCCCCCAGTGTGCGTAGGTGCACTCTCGGGTGCTCACAAACAAGTCACCAATCACAGATCTGAGACTGTGTTCCTGTCATTAAGTGGCAGACAACAGTACTGTCATTCGTTTTTTTCACCAATTCATCTGTTTCACTTCCTTCTAGTGCTATTTTCTTTTCTTTTCAAATAGTGTTTTGCACATTTCAAATCTCAGTGCTTTATCTGAGGACTTTAAGGCCATTAGAAGGGTATTTCATCTAATACTCTAACAAATCATGATTCACCTGTTCTTACTCTAGCCCTTCTTCTGCATAATGTCTCCTACTCCTAAAATACTATTTATGATTTTGTTTTTTTAAAGACAGGTTCTTGCTACATAGTTCAGGTTGGCCTCGAATTTACGGTGATCCTTCTGCCTCAGCCTCCCAAGTGCTGGGGTGTGCCACCACACCTGGCATGAATTATCTTTTTTTCCCCTCCTGTACTGAGAATTGAATTCAAGCCCTTCTGTTTGCCAGGCAGGTGCGGCACCACTGAGGTAAATCCCTGGCCCATGAATTATCCTTTTAATGAAGTATTTAAGTAGAAATAGATTCATTAAAAATAAAAAAACTCAATATATAATATAAGACAAAATATCCCAAAGAACATAACTTTTGAAAATGCAATTAAACCTGAATACGGAGGTTTCAGTTTAGCAAAAACAATTCATACAGTAACATGTTTTTACTTAAAAGAAAAATAAATAACGTGTGTGTAGTTCTTCATCACCACTGCCTTAAGCTATCAAAATTTCTTTAAGTCAGAAGCAGTTGTAATCGTTTTGTCTTTCAAGTGAAAAACTATGGGACTTAGCTTGCCAGTGGCATAAGAAAGTTTAATTCAACCTTTAAACCAACATTGGTCTTTGTCCAAAGGAGCTGTGCCAACTCTAGAGTGTGTGGAGTCCCCAACCAGAGCAGGGTGCACAGATGCTGCTGAGAGCAAGGCAGCACTCTTCACTACTCTGAACTAAAGGTATGGTGTCCACAGGTATGGAACCTAGGTCACCGTTCTACTCCACAGACAATCAGAATTAGAGAACTCAGCGGGCAAATATTAATGGCAAATCATTATATTCACCTAGTTATTCCTAAATTAATGCCTTCAGTTCATCTGTTCATACATCAATAGCTTAACTGACTTTAATCATATGTAATTTGTCAACGTTATGATGAATTAATTAATTTCATTATATGTGGCTCAAAACTTGAGTCCAAACCAGGAGCACTTTCTTTCAAGTTAGAATTACCATTCATACTAGAATCCTAATCCTGCTGTTATTCTGAGATTACAAAGCTTTATAGGATGGTGGCAAATCAGACCAGTTTTTTAAAAAAAAAATCAAAGTCAAGGATTTTTTAAAAAGGTTAATAAAAAAGAAAAAGAGGAAAAAGGTTAAAAGAAAGTGCCAAAAAGTTTTTGACGGACTGGAGGTATAGCCCAGAGACAGAATGGGTGCTCATTCTGCGGGACCCTGGGCTCAATCCTATGATGCACACACATGAAAACAGCTTTTCAAATGTTATTTTTAAAAAGGGAAATTAAAAATAAAAGCCCAAAAGGCAGCAGTAAAGACAACACAGCTGGGTGTGGTGGCACACACCTGTAAGCCAAGTAACTGGGAGGCCAAGGCAGAAGGAGCCTGTGCTATACAGTGAGTTCAGGGCCAACCTGGACCACACAGACTATGTCTCAAAAACCAGTTTCAACTGTAGGCCACAGTGCTGTGGTCTTCAGAATCAGGGACCAGGCATCTCCTATCAGGCCTGGAAATCAGTCCTGCACTCCCAGCTGTCTGGGCACCCACACAGTGGAGCAAGACTGGAGAGCTGGAGTTTAGTCCCTCTGCAGACACCAGACTACTGGTAAGGCTTAGAGGCCTGTCTGGGTTCTAATAGAGAAGTAATAATCTAAAGAGTGCTTGGTGAATTTCAGAGCCTTTCACTCTTCTTACTTGACCTCATTTCATTGAATGTTAACCAGCATTTAGGGATCATAAACCTGCTAAGTAGGAAGGTGCAATCAAAGTTCCATACCCTGTGAGTCGCAGAGGTCTGAGTACTTTAATTCCAGTTTTCTCCTGAGAAAACTGAAGCCAGAAAGACCAGGTTAACTAACTAATCTTGAAAGTTCTGTGTCACAGCTGGAATCAGCACTGTGTCCTTCAGAGATACATACACCCTTCACTCGTACAGAGCAGAGCATAGGGCTTCCTCTACATGACAGACAAAGCTTGAAAAGTAGTTAGAGTGACCATTTTGCTTCTGATTCTCTTGATATCAGGGTATTCATTATTTAAAACAAAGTGCAATTTCAACAATATTTTCTTTACTTGAAAACTGTCAGGGAAAAAACTGTACCCCTAAAAAAATCTCAGAAGAAAACACTTGATGAGAAAGTGTGTGTAAAAGCCATGTAAAAAAATCTTTTACATCAAATGAAGCAAAGAAAAATACAATTAACACAGACGTGCTCCTTGAACATGAAGAACTACATCATCCATACGCCATGGTGAGCCCCCATCTCCCAAAGCAGGAAGTATGCAAAATAACATATTAAGTCAATCCAATTAAACAAGATATTAAAAACAAACAAACCAGCCAACCAACGCACAGTCTACCTTGAAATCATCAGTCAACCAAGATTTAAGCAGAGGCAGTTTTCACACATCTTTTGAGAATCAAAACTCTGTAACTATTACTTTGACAATTTCAAGTTCAGAAGGCATCCAGCAATCTTTGGAAACCAAAGAAGGGCTTGAAATAACAACCAATCAACGTGTTAATGCAAACTTTACAAATTAATTCACAGGAAAATCCAGTCTTAGCACAATTAGGCAGTTGAAGAATTAAACACACAGAATCTGTTACTGCCATTTTTGTACCCACAGAAAATTCTAAACCTGTTGCTAATTCTTTTATTCCAACCCATGGAAATGGATGACACAGACACTGAGGGCTCTTTATTAAAGGGTGCAGATATACATAAGGAACATCTACAGCGAAAAGTCTTTGAGCTTGCCAACCAAAGACAACTGACCTTGAGCTCCAAGAACAAAAAACTCTAGAAGGGCTAGTCTTTGGAAACACTTACAAGATAGCTAAAACAGGAAAACTGGCTATCTGAAAAAATGTCCAAATTAAAGAAAACCATTTCATAATATATGAAGGCAGTATAAAATACCAAGGTTTTAAAGCCACTAGTATATGACTTAAGCGTTTTACAAGATTGAACCTCATTCCCTAACGAAGTTCCCTAAATAAGAACATTTAACAAGATCTTTAACAATCTGTTCCTTTAGTTTACTTCCTTTCTATTAAGACACTTTCATTAGAACAGATTTTCTAGGATAAAATATACTTCCTTAGTAGAAGTGGGTTAAAATTTTTATGAGATTATCCTCTATTTAATTCTGTATTGACTGAACTTTTGGCTTATAACTATGTATCTATAATATAAGGCAAAATACTGATATAATTTTATTTCACTTGAATCAGCTCTTAGAGGAGAGGTACTTTAAACTTGGAAGAATATGTATTTCAGTACTTTATATATAGCTAGCCATCACACTACATATTCATTTTTTTCTTTCTCTTTGGTACTGGGGATTGAATTCAGGACCTTACATTTACAAGGCAGACACAGTGCCACTGAGCTAAATCCCTGGCCCTTACACTACATACATATTTAAATTTAACAACTTTACTTATAAAGTTATATTTAGAAACCAAACTTTGTTTTTTTTGTTTTGTTTTGTTT